TGGTGGCCTAGGGTTGACCCTGGTTTGGCCTTGCGTGGGCGTTCACGTCTCCTCAGCTCTGTCGTGCTTCCTTCTGGTTCTCACTTGGCCTGGGAGTCTCCCAAAGCAGCAGCACGGAAGCATCCAGCTGCTGCTGTTCCTGGGGGGATGAGGCCATGTTCACCACCCTGGAGAGAAGGGGTTGTCGGAGGAAGCCCCTCTATGCGGGCAGGATCGTGGCACGTAGCGGTAAAAAAGCAGGGCGGCATGCAGAGGAGGCCTAGCTTTCCCAAGAGGAATTGGGAAGTGGATCCCATCAACCCGGGAGGAGGGGACAGTGCTCCCCACGGGGACCCTGGCTGGAGGTATGAGCTGTTCGCCAGGGGCCATCCTCTCCACCGGGTTATCCCAGGACGCTCCTTCCGTTCCCCCGAGTTCCTGTGGATGAACCTGGCTCCCTGTGTGCTCCCGTTAACTCTTCCGAAAGGAAAAACCAAACCAAGTTGACCTTGCTATAACGGGATGCTTGTACCCTCTTGTGTTTAGAATCAGCATGTGCAGCAATTACCATAATTAGCATCGTCATGGCAACAGCTATATGTACCTCATATGTTTTTTAAGATGAAGCAAGCCAGACTGTGATGTCACCAGCGAGCTGTTGTCCTCCAGGACCCCTAACAAGGGGAGTGGAGGCCGAGTGCGTGTGCGTGCGCGCAGAGGCACCGGCAAAAGCAGCCTTGTCACCTGTGGAAGCCACGTCCCCGAGACGCAGGCCGTGGCGCGGGTCAGCGCGGCCTTTCGCACACGCTCACATCAGTTCCCGCAGCAGAAGTGACTTGGAAATGGGTGAAAACTTCCCTAGGAAAGGATGAGGATGCAACGGGTGCCTCGGCCTCCCCCTCTCGACAGGCTCTGCTGCAGATCTGCTCCCTTGCTTGCCGTGGGGCTCTTGCCCAAAGCGCTCGCTCTGCCGGAGAGTTGGTTTTGGTGTCACAACACTGAGCCCTAAACGTGCGGCTTCCTAATTAGGAAACAGAGGTCACTAATGGGAAAGAATCAACTGTTCTCTTTGTAGATCAGTCTAGTTAGTTTGTACTGGTGCTTTCTGGCACTGGGCAAAGCTGCTCTGCGAGCAGCTCCCTGTTGCAGTGGTGCTGCCATGTCCTCAGGGGACGTGCAGCGCCTTAAGAACGCAAATGACCATCACGGTGAGACTCAAACTCCATCTCCCGTGGTGTGACGCGACCCAAGTGGTTCCAAGCACTGTGGACTTCTCTGAAATGTCTTCTTGTAGATGGAGAATTATTTAATTATCTTCCAGAGAGTAGGTTTCTTTCCACTTTTGCTTCTGCTCTGAAGTATTTTGGGTCACTGAAGTGTCTCTGTTCCCTGGAGTGGCTGCAGGTCACAGGCCAAATGCTCTTGTGACATCTCTCTCTTGGAAGCTTTTCTTGGTGCTGAGCCTTTCTTTAACCTGTATCACTCTTAAATGTGGTCCTCGCTGATCAGAATAATCCCCATGTGGGTGCTGCAAGAGCAGGAAAGGAGGCAGTTTTGGGGTCTGACAGCACAGTGAGGCTCGTCTGGACATGTGAAGATGCCAGCCTTTTTGCAAAGGCCATGAGGAGGCTTTGGCTGCCAAAAAAGAGGTAGGAGGAAGAGGATTCCTGCTCGTAATTTTCACTTCCCGCTGATAATTTTCCCAGGAAGAGTAGAAACCTGGGCTACCAGCTGCCCGTGCTCAGGATGTGATCCCGCAACCCCCCTGCCTCGTAACGGGGCTGGCGGAGGGGAGAGGGAGCTTCCCTCCATCGGAGTGGGGAAGCTGCACGCCGCCGTGGCGGAGGATGAGGGATTTCAGCTTCAGTTGATGCAGCCGCTCACGGTAGCCCAGGATTTCTTCCCTGGATGCTAATTAGCGCATCTCGCAAGGTCGCTAATCGTCCCTGAACAGGGCTCCGAGGAAGCGGCTTCTCCGAACGCTCCCTGCAGCAGAGTTAATTCTGCCTCTGCCCCTGGGGGCAAATCCAAGCTCGGGCTTTGCTCCCAGCTGCCGCCCGGGAGCCTTGGAGCCCGTGTTCTCCCTCCTCCCCGTGTCGTTAGCAGGAGGCCGGCTCCGGCCGGATTCCGCGGCCGCTGGATTTGCGCGTCGCCGTGCGGCTCGCGCGGATCTCTGTGCTCCGCTTCGCCGTGTGCTGGCGTTTTATTGTGGTTTTATTCCACTGCAGTCCCTGCCTGCTTCCCTCTGCAGCTCTCTGTAACGCAGCTCTTGGAGGCATCGTCTGCATTTTGCTCATCGCCTTTCTTCTATTTTTCTCCAGAGATGGAAAGAGGCTTCATTTTCTTGACCCTCTTTCTGCCTTCCCTATATTTCCTTTGGCTCTCAGCCAGTGTTGACAACTCGTATTATTATGTTATCTGCAATTTAAACTGTGTGGTATTTGCTCCTGCTTTCTGATCCTTACTGAAGATGTTTGAAGCAGCTGATCCCCCTCAGCCCCGTGTGGCGCTCGGGAGACGTTAACGCTCCCCGGGTCGACTACGGATTCATTTCTGGCTCATGTGTTTGTGGCCGGCCAAGGTAGCTGTCAGCTCCTGTCAGCATCCAGGCTGCAGCGATGCAGCACCCAACATGCTGCGAGTTAGTGCCCCTGGACCATGCGCTTTGCTGCCTTCTCGTGTGTTTGTGCAGGCGCTCGTGTCCTGTGCCCTGCACCCTGTTTAAATGCACCACAGCAGCAGCATCTGCTGCTCCTAAGCCTCAGTGCAGCCAGTCTGGCAACGGCCCTGCCTTATTGCCTTGTTTAGGTAAAACGGTACCCAAATTCTTCCTGTCTGATTTCCTCTGTTTCCTGAGAGCCTTCCAAAATTATCTAGCTGCGGCGAGATGAGTGACAGTGTGAGAAACACAAGGTTGACAGGGCTAAGATGAGCCTGGGATCCTCTCTGCTCCCCCTGACGAGTGCCAGCTGGAGATGCTCCCTGCGTTGCTGCGATAACGCTCGTTTGCAACTCGCCGCCGCTGCGTCCTGCTCTTGGCACCTGCTCGGTGCCGGCGCCGCTTCCGAGCGCCGGGGAACGTCCCGCTGAGAGGCTTGTGCTAACGGGGCTCTCTGTTGCTTTGCAGAACGAACTGGACAGGACCAAGGCTCAGCTCGCCCTGAAAGGTGAGTGGCAGCCGCCCGCGGGCGCCCCGGCCCGAAGGAGCTGTCTGCAGACCCGGCCTCCCGGTGCGCACGGTGCTGGCTGGGATTGCTTTGCTGGACCAGCTTCTTGCAGAGCTTTTTCTGCGCAGAGCCTCTCCTAAAGCTAAACAGCAGCCCACAGGGCTATTGCTTGGCCCTGGTGCTCTCTGCAAGCGTATCTAATCGCGAGCTCTAAACGTGCTCTTGCTGGAAACAAAACCTGTGGTCTGCGTCCTGGGAAAACGCAGCTGCAGACGGCCCCTCTCACTGCCCCTCGTGCAGGAGGGGGAAACGCGGAGCCCGCGCAGCCTCTGGGCTCTCCGAGCGCTGCGGGGCCCCGCGCGCCGCCCCGGGAGCAGCCGGAGCTCGCGCTCTGTGTGCGCTTCCATCTTCTCCTCCTGAATTTTAGAGGGTGGTGGAGGGAGGCAGGGAAAGCAAAAGCCCTGGAGACTTGTCGATGGGTTTTGAGCATCGTCTGTAGGCAGCCTGTCATCAGCACATGAGTCATGAGCAGCGAAAGGAAAATGTCAGTGTGAGTGACAGAAATGCAGGGACGCGCACTAGCAGAAAGGGGGAAAGAAATGTTGGGGGGCTGCGGGGGGCTCACCCACGCCCCGCGAGCCGCTGCTCCGGTGCCTTCCCCGGGGCGGACACCGGTGGCTGCTCCAGAGGGTTCAGCCCGCAGCCCGGAGCAGTGTTGGACGGGCTCTGTGCTGAGGCCTGTTCTCCTGCCAGCTTCGCTGAGTTTAGGGACTTGGTAGCGAGCCAAATCTTCTGGGGAAGGTGGCTGGGATGCTTGCTAGGATTTTATCCAAGAAAAACTGCCTGGAGGCCTGCTCATCTTCTCAGCTCCTGGTGAGTAGAGGTTGGGTTTGACGTTTCCCGTCCCGTCCTGTTGTCCTCGCGCTGGAAGGAAGAGCCTGCTTCCCACCTCCTGCCTCCTTTGCTGTGGGCACTCTGCTCTCTGGTGGCTCCTGAGTGGAAATTCTCCACTCTAAAGATCTTTCCTGCTCTGTGGAGTCACTGGGTAAGTGCCGGTGTCTGATCAGCTCACAAAGGGCCCTGGAGGTTGGAGCTCTGTGCAGAGCTCACAGGCACCGCGGGAGCTGGAAGCAGCATGGAGTGCCTGGGCTCTTGCTCCCTGCTCCGGGCAGCTGGGGACAGGAGAAGGAGAATTTTCCTAACTTTTCTAGTGGCTCTGGGGTCCCTGCATCCCAGGGGAGCATCCCTAGGCAGGGCTGCCTCAGGTGTTGGATTAGTGAAGAAAAGCACTTTACAGAGGCAGGAACCCTTGTGTGCGGCCGCTTCCTCTGGCCACCGTGTGCATCTGCTCCCGCACGTCCCTCCTCTGCCGAAGTCCTGCCTGGCTCTGTCTGTGCTTCTATGGGACACGGCGGCACAATCCGAAACGGGGCCGCTCGGAGGACAAGGAGCTCGGAAAGGTGCCGAGTTGCTGCCCAGGGAGATGCTGAAGCCACAGAGGAGCGTTAGCAAAGGCAGAAGATGCTGAGCTGAGGGCTCTCCTCTGCTCGCAGCGCTCCTGGCATGAGGGATTGCTGCTTTCTGCCACCATGCAACGCGTGTGGCTCCCTAGCGATGCCGGCTGTGCTCTGTTAGGTGGTACGGGGGGTCCCCTTGTCAACTGTTCTTCGTGTGCTGCCAAACTCAATCCAGTGGCTTTTGCCCCCCTTCTTGGTGCTCCAAGCATGTGCCCTGTGCCTGGCTTGTCTGCGTGCCGGGGGGAAAAGGAGCACCTGGAGCAGCACAACTTGGGCTTCGGCACCTGTAAAAAGCGGGAGCTCTCGGCGCGTGCCCTGGCGCTCCCGGAATGGCATCGCTGCCGCGGCGGCTCCGTCTGACCGCCCTGCTCTGCCCGTCCCTGCTTTGGGAGGCACCAGCTTCCTGCTCGCAGGACAAAGCTGCTTAAGGGAACTTGTTATCCTTGCTGGAGAAAATCTGGAAGCGCTCGCTGAGCTCAGCCCCTTCGGGCTGCAGCCGGGGCGCCGAGCGGTGCCTGTTGTGCCGAGTCCTCGTGCACGGGGCTCGTGACTCCCTTTCTTTTCCAGAGAAGGAGAAGCGGGAATGCCAAGCCGTCGTGGATGGGCTGAGGGACACCCTGGACACGCGCAACGCCACCATAGAGTCGCTGCAGAAGGTGCTGGGTGAGACGGACATGCTCTGCTCCTCCCTGAAGGTACATTGTGGCCCAGCAGCACCTTGGCTCTGTCCAGCTCTGTTCTGTTCGGGTTCTTTGTGGGACCAGCAGAATCGGGACAACTCCAGGGGGAGTTCGGATGCGGCGCCGGAGCTGCTGCCCGAGCCTCACCAGCGAAGCAGCTCATAAAGGCACTGGTGCAAAACGTGCGTGGGGATTGGCCCCGGCGCAGGAACGTGGGCTCCCTGCGGTAGAATGTTCTTCCGAAATGGGTTCAGGCCAGGCGGGATTCAAGGAAAATTAGCTCCGCGGTTTGATTGGAGAGGAAATCAAATGGAAACTAAAAAAAATCAGCAGAGTGGGCTGCCATCCAGCCACCGCTCCTGCCTCTGTCCTGGGGCCAGGGCGAGGGCGGCAGCCCAGGGAGCCAGCGCTCCGGTCACCTCTCTGTACTGGGCATCCAGAACGAGGGTTTGGGGGGCACATGGAAACTCCGCTTCTCTGGGGTGTCTCTGTTGGGATGAGAGCGGAGTGACTTGAGGGCATCCCCCTGGAGCGATGCCGATGAGGCCGGATGCCCCACGGGAGCGCAGAGGGCAGCTGCCCTTTCCTGATCCCTTTCCTTTGGAGGGGGTCTCGCCATGTGCCAGCGCCAGCCGTTTTGCCTGGCCCGGGGTGGCAGCGCGAGGCGCGTGTGGCAGCCCCAGGCAGGACGCTCTGCGCTCGCCAGCGCTCCCAGCTCCTCCAAGACAGCTGCCAAGTGGAAGCTGCTGCTTGCTGCTCGCTTCGAGGGTGCTCTGCTCCTGCCCGGCCTCCTGCGAGGAGGCTCCGCTGCTACCTTGCCTGGCGGAAACCCCTCTGCAGCAGCTCAAGCTCTTCTGCTAACGGGCAGGACAGAAGGGTTAGGGACTGGGGGTCCTTCCTGTGGCTCCCCAGCTGAATGCCCAGCAAGGTCCAGCACGGCCTCCTTTGAACATCAACGCGTGAAGCTTGTGCAGTGCAAATGGGGGCTGTCCTGGGCTCTGCCGAGGCGGCAGTAACAGGCGAGACGGCCCCGCTGCCCCTCTGCAGAGCCCCGGCAGTTTCACACCTCTCCGCTTTCGCTGGGAGCAGGCGGATAAAGATCCTTCAGCTCCTGTGCAAAAGAGAAGCTTAATATGAGACCTTAAGAGGCTTTAGTGCCTGGGCAGCCTTTTCTCTGGAGCGAGCGCTGTGTGAAAACCAGGCCTGGAGCACCCAGACAGCGCAGCCCTGCTCAGAGGGGCTAATGTGGGCAGGTTTCGGAGCTTGGTCCAGCTGAGGGGCACGCTCGATGCCACCCGTTGCTTGCAAACCTGCAAGGGTGATGCCTGGGGTAGAGCTGGAGCCTCTCCAGGGCAAGCAGAGCACCCGGGGGTGTCCTCATCGGCCGAGCCCTCCTGTGAGGGGCTTGGGCAGCGTTTCTGCGGGTGCTGTCAGCAGCTCCTGCCACAAATAGAGGCCAAAGGGAAGGGGCCTGAGCCGCCTGCAGAGGGGGGACAGCAGCAGGACTTGCTGTGGGGACCGTCTTGCTTGCAAAAAGCAAAGGGTCCCTGAGGATGGAGTAAGCACAAGCACCTGACGGCTCCGTGGGGAGAGGGGACCCGATGCCGGGCTCGGCACGCGGTGCGCGCGAGCTGGGCCGCTTCCCTCGCAGCCCCCGGAGCCCTCCTGACGCGCTGTGCTCGCTCCTCCGCAGAAGCAGATGAAATTCCTGGAACAGCAGCAGGAGGATAACAGAAGCTCAAAGGAAGAGGCCCGGCGCCTGCGGAACAAGCTGCGGAGCATGGAGCGGTGAGACCCCCGGTGCTGCCCACTCATGGCTCGGCCGCGCCGCCTCCATCCCCCTCAGAGGGTCCCGCTGCCCCAGGCTGCATCCGGCCCCGGCTGCTGGCCCTCGTCAGGCTCCGCGGCGGGGAACGGCCGGCCCTGCTCCTGCCGCTGCTTCCTTGTTTTCCCTGGGGAGCAGTGAGGCCTGGGGCTGTTTGCAGGCCGGCTTGGCTCCAGGCCTCCCTGCACAGCCAGGGAGGACGCTGGGGCAGAGCCTGAGCACACTCGTGTGTGTATAGAGATATACTTTACATAATGTATATATACATATATATGTGTGTGTGTGAGTGTATTCAGGTGCAGTGTGTGTGTATGGCCGCCCCATCTCCGTTCTGTCCGTCCTGATGTCCTCGCCTGCCGTGTCCGGCCTCCCGCAGCAGCCGTTCCCGGTGGCAGCGGCGCTCCCGTCTCGCTCCCGGGCGGTTTGCGACGGCGGCTCGGGGGGAATCTCTTGCAGGATCGAAGCGCTGCTGCAGAGCCAGCGCCCCGAGGTGGAGGAGATGATCCGTGAGATGGGAGTGGGGCAGGCGGCTCTGGAGCAGCTTGCGGTCTACTGCGTCTCCCTGAAAAAGTAGGTGCTCCGGGCTCGCCGGAGCCGCTGTGTCCTCCTGGATGTGCCCAGGGAGGCTTCCCTTGGCTGCAGGTGCCAGAGGGGGCTCCCTATGGCAGTCCCGCGTGGCCCGGGTGGGATGTTTGGCACGCCGCTGCTCAGCAGATCGCTTGGCCCTGCTCTTGAAGAGCTGGGTGTGTTCTGGGTTTTATCCAGTGGTTTTGCGGTTGCAGAGCGTCCAAACGAGGGTCTTGGGTTGTCTTGGGGAATTCTCACCCGATCCTCATGCAAGTACAGCAGAGAGACTCTGCTACTACAAATACAAACTGTGTTGTCATTCGTTTGCAGGGAATATGAGAACTTGAAGGAGGCTCGGAAGACATCCAGTGAGGTGGCAGAGAAACTGAAGAAGGAGGTGTTTTCTGTCGGTAACAAGGTAAGAGAGGGTAACAGACACAAGGTGACCCCTGCCTGAAGACCCCAGTCCGTATCTGGGCCTGCTTCTGGCCGCAGCTTTGCTGAGCTGCAGTCGGGTCCAGAGGTGGGAGCTGGTGCCCAGCGTTAGGCTGGGGAAAGCTGTCACCGCGGGGCGCAAACGCTGGGAGCTCTGCAGGGAGGTCCGTGTTCTGCAGCCCTGGAGATCCCTCTGCAGGCAGCCAGGGGAAGGGGCTGGCCAGGACTCCCCGCGTGGCAGAGCTGCTGGGGCAGTGTTGGGGACAGCCAGCCCTGGGGCCGGGGGGACGGTGGCGGGTGCCGCAGAGCACAGAGCTGTGCTCGGAGGGCAGAGTTTGTTCTTCCGTGTGTGGCGTAAGCAGCCCTCTGCTCCTCGGGGGGTGCTTATTGTGCAGCTGCAGAAAACCATCTCGGAGTTGGAGAAGACAAAGGAGGAGCTAAAAAGCACCCAGAAGGATCTGAAGAATGCAGATAAGGAGATCTTGGTGAGCACGTCGTTCCTCGGGCTGCAGTAGCTGGCAGCTGGCCACGGCCTGCAGCTGCAGAGCCAGGAGCCGGGCTGGGGTTGCCTCAGCTTACCCAGGCCACCTTCCCTCCCTGGATCTGCCCCTTGCTGCATCACGGAAGGGGCAAAACTACCTGCTGCAAACACTCTTCTCACCGTCTGCTTTCCCTCTGCCCACCAGAGTTTGAAGAAGAAGATAGAAATCCTGCAGGATACTCTGAAAGTGCCATCTGTAACCAGAGAGACCCTGAGCAGACTGGTCTTTGAAAGGTTGGTGAGGCTCACCCCGAGTGCAGAGGGAGAGCTGACAGTTTAACCAGGTCGTGCTGAGAAGGCAGAGGTGCTCTGGCCTGGCAGGCATCATGGTGGCACAGCTGCTTGCATTCTGTTTTGTTTCTCCTGTTACCAACAAGGTGGGGTCTGGTTTACCTGGAAAGAAGTGTGTGTTTCTGAGGGTTTGGGTCAGCAAGGGATGGAAGGAAGAGCTGAGTTTGCCAAACTCTGCTCTAGTTGCCATGTCCTGCCAGGGAAGCTGCTCCTCTGGTTGCCTCCCACTCGTGCCTCAGGGTTGGCCTTCTAGGGAGCTGCCCTGGAGTTTGGGGAGCAGAGAGTTGGGCCAGGCAGAGGATCCCAGCCTGATCCTCTGTTTTATCCAGCCCTTCCTTCCCGGGAGCCGGTGCTCCCGCCCCAGCGCAGCGAGCTGCCTCGTGTGCGCCGCGCAGCAGTGTCGGTGCTGTTCCCACTGCTGTTGTGTAGCTCAGTGGAGCTTGTGCCTCTGTGCCCACCTGCTGGGGCTGCTGCTGACGTCTGCTCTGTGTGTGCCCGCAGCCCCGCTCCCCTGGAGCTGCGGCACCCCAAGCTCCACCGCCCGGCCCACGGCGAGCCGATCGATCTGGATGCCACTTTTGATGTGGATACCCCCGAGCCTCAGCCCTGCAGATCTCTTTCCAGCCCAGCGAAAAGACAGAAGCTGGATAAAAAGTCGTGAGTTCTCTCTCTTCTTTGTGCTTCTGCGTGAGATCAAAGTCTCCGTTCCTCCACAGCGGCTGTGAGATCAGCCAGCTCGCCCGCAGCCTGGCGCCGCGCTGCAGGTTTCGCCGTCGGCCCTGGCCAGCTCTGCTTGGATAATAAATCTCTGCTGACTTGTCCCTCGGTCTCTTACAGGCCTCCTGTGGTAAACCTGTCCAAGAAAATTCTGAAGGAAACAGCAGAGGTAAAAACACTAATGTTGTTTTGTGCATCGCCTTTCAAGTTTGGCTGTTGTTTGGTTGAGAAACAACTTGTCCATGTAGAAAGCAGCCACCGCAGACTGGGCCCCTGCAGAGCCTCAGAACAGGCTCCCAAGAGCTTTCCTTGAGTGTCTCCTGGAACCAATTTATTACTACATCGGAGAGGCCGTCTGGAATTGGTTGGGAGAAGGAGGATGGGGAGATGCTGTGTCCCTGCACATGATCCTTGCCAGATGCACAGGGTGGGTCTGTCTACGCGGGCCACGGGGCTGGTCTGCCAGGCTGCCCGGGTGCTTCTTCCCTCCCTCCCTTCCTTCCGTCCAAGCAGTGAGTCCCAGGGGGAAGTTTGAAGCTAGGAAGGGAGGGAGGAAGCACCATAGCTCAAGCCATGGTACGGGAGTAACTGTTTGCTTCGCTGCCTACATCCTTGATGCTGCTTGTACATGAATCCAAGGCATCAAATCACGCTGGTCACCAGACTTTCCGCTTTATTTTGTGGGACAGGACTGGGCAGAAGACTTGGAGGATGAGGCCCTTAGGGGACTCCTGCCAGCCTTCATCAGGAACTCGGTGCTCTCCAAGAAGCCGTTCTCGGGCAGCTTGCTGGGCCCCCCAAAGCACGCGGGCGCTGTGAGTACAAGGGCCTCCCTGGAGAGGGGCCCCTGCACCTCTGTCCTGACATACGCTGGGATGTGACCCAGCTCCTTCCCGCTCCTGCAGGGCTCCAGGGAGGACAGATGCTCAGGCCCCTCTCTGGCAGCAGCTGGATGACCCTCTGGGTCCTGTTCCTCCACCTCCCTGGAGCGTTTTCCTGGGGTGTTTTCCTTGTGCGCTCAGCCCCAGGCACAAAATCCTACGCCTTGCTGCTGCCTGGAAGGCTCAGCCTGCTCCAAAAAAACGCTGAGACACCCAAACTCTACTCATGCCCTTGGATGGGTTTTTTTTTTTTTTTTGCTTGCTTTTTTGTTGTTTTTCTTCCACTAAGGTGAGGACATTGTCCAGGCATCAGAGTGTTTCCAAGTGCCCGTAACCCCTTCCCAGGCCCGCGGTGTGCTCAGCTCACTGGCTCTCCGTTAACCGGTGCAGGCAGAGGTAGCCAAGGCTCCGCTGCCCTGCTCCAAACACATCTCCTTGTCTCTCCCTCTAGGTGAGGGTGGGCTACGACGGCTTGGGAGGCAGAACCAAGTTCATACAGCCTGTATCCTTCCCTGCACGGATCGGCACCCGTGGCTGTGTTGAGCTCACAGCTCGGTGCTGTTTTGAGGTGGTTTTGCCCTTTGTTCAACCTCCTGGGTCTCCGCAAAGCCCTTTGGGTTTCTCCTCACTGTGCGGGCCCAGCGGGCTCCCATGTGTGAGACGCTTGAGCCAGAGGTGCCAGTTGCCCCCCAGTTGCAGCAAGTAGTGACTGGCCAGGAGCTTCCCCAGTTCAGGGAGGGTTTTTTGCTCCTTTTGTCTCAGAAGGGGGTCCCTAAGGTGCTGCTGCTCCGATGGCAGCTCTGTGTGGGGCTGCAGCTCTGGGGTGCTGTGGCTTCCCTCACGGAGGTGCTTGCTGTGACACACCTGAAATACAAATGGGGATGCTTAGACACTGAGATTGGTTTATGCATTTTATGCTAGGGGATGGCATGGAAGTGGAGAGTGCTCCTTTGGGGCTGGGGGGAACGGGGCTGGAATATGTCCAAGCCCTGCTCCTGTGAATAGGGAGCAAAGCCCAGGCCTTGCTTTTCCTGCTGGGAGCTCTTTCTTGGTAGCAACCTTGCTGGGCCCCAGATCTGCGATCCTGGAGCGAGTCCTGGGTTGCTCCTCAGTTTTCCCTGGCCTTGCCCTCCTTGACAGTTTCCCCTGCAGACAAACCCCACGGAAATCCGCCCGGCAGCAGTGAGGAGCAAGAAGAAGAACGTGTCCAGGCCGGCGCCCGCGGCCCCTTGCTCCAGCTCTAGCCAAGCCAAACTGGACTCCTTCCTGCAGTGAGAGGCCACGTCCTTCCCAGGAGCCGCTCAGCAAGGAGGAGTTCCCATTCCCGGAGCCCGGGGCTCGCTGCTGCCAAAGCCCCCATGGGCCAAGCTGCCCTGGGAGAAGCCTGCCCTTGTAGCCACCCCCAGGACACCGAGGCTCTGGTTAGTGTTTGGACTTATTCACCCCTGTTTGTTTTTTACCCAAGTGTGTTTCTTCCCCGGGGTTTTTCTCATTGTGTGGCCTGCTCGAAGCTCTGCCCTTGCCGCATTTAGGAGCAGGAGCAGAGAGGAGAGACCCTGGCCAACTCTCTGCCTGTGGCAGATGATTCAAAGACAAGACTTCCCGCAGGAAAAGCCACAATTCTCCAGTTTTCAAAACAAGTTGCTGCTCCTAAACGATACAGACTTTAGAGGAGCAGTCTGCTCCTTTCCCCCCATCAGCCCTGATGCCTTTGGAGGAGGCCAGGGACGGCTTTGGGAGGAGATCTGATGTCTTTGATTCGCTGCCCTCTTCCAAACGAGGCTTCCCACTAGGAAAAGCAGTCTGGATCCATATTGCTGCGACATGGCTGTACATTCGTTAGCAAATTAATCTCCTTCCCTCTGCTGCAGGCCTGGCCTTTGGGAGACCTGCGGCCAAGCACAGGGGATGCATCTCGCCCTGCTTGGGGACGTGGGAGTCTCCTGTGCTTTTCCAGACTTGTGACTTTGTGCGTGGAGCGATGGGGCAATCCCCACTGTCCCCTTTGGGAACTGGGAAGATCAGAGTGCTGTTGTGGCCCCTGATTTTATAGGATTTCTAATTTCAAGTGTGACTCTAGGGGCTGGACCCGTCTCACGTTCCCTAGTTCCTGAGTCCCCCCTCGCCCTGTGGCTCTAGCAGATGCAGCCCCTGGAGCAGGGCAGGGAAGTGACTGAGGCACCGCACTAGGAAATCCCGTACCCTACAAATCCGGGGTGTTCCTGAATTCCAGCTGCCGCAGGCTGGGAGCCTCAGCACCTGTGTTAGCTGAAACTAGCAGGTCTTTAAGGAATAAAATATATTATTTTCACCACTTATTTGTCCTTCGTGACCACCTCTCCTCCCTCCCTGCGCTCTCGGGTGGCTCCGGTGCTCGATGCTCCTGCTCCACGTGCGGACGTCCCCCTGCTCTGCTGCCACTGCCCCACCGGGGCCTCAAAAGCCAACAGAGAACCAGGTCAGAGGGGCCGTCTCGCAGGGGGACATCAGTAGTGCTTTCTATTTCTGTGGAATTTAAGGTGAAATCAGACCTAGTTTTGCATTTATTTTAGGATTTGGAGTAGCATGTGTTGGCTCATGACCTTTGGGAAGGTGCTGGCCTGGGCTCGAGCTGGTGGAAGAAGCATCTTGTGCTGAGCCCTGAAGGTCAAGTTTAAAGTTTCTCAGGTCACCAGAGACAGCAATAGAAGTGAAAATGTGGAAAATCAGGGGTTTTATCACTGAAATGCCAAGCTGGTGGCTTGAAGGTGGCACCTACGTGTGCATCCAGCACCCTCTGGATGTGGCGCAGAGCTCAGCCCCCTTCTTGCTGCTGTCGGGGAGAGGCCCTGGAGGGGCCTTCCCTGTGCCCTGAGTTTTGGGGTGCTCCATTTTCCCCCTCACCGGGGTCTGTCCTTCTACAGGCGTCTTGCGCTTCCAAGGGAAGGGATGAAGAGGCCACACGATGGCAGCAGGGGACAAGGGAGCAGGGGCTGTGGGGCCGGGGATGCCGCATCTCTCGCATGGGAGCGAGGAGGAGGCAACGCGTGAAGTCTCCCTGTCCCCTCACATTCCATCTCCTATAACTTAGTTTATTCCTTCAAGAGCCTTCTGGGCGTCCGGAGCTCGGGAACAACCTGGCGCAGCTCCAGGCTGGGATCTTTCCCCCTCTTGCTGCGTTTCTGCCGCTTTCCTACAGCTCCGTTCCCAACGTGCAGAGCCTCCCATTCCCGGAGCACCGGCCCCGGCTCCTGCATGACCCAGGGCAAATTTTCCTTTTTTCCTGCTGCAAGCAGAGGGGATGCCCGGCCTGGCCCTGCCGCCTGCCTTCCCTTCCACTCCCTCCTCCACCATGGTGAGGACAACCCCCCTGCGAATAATTAGCTTAATTATAGCTTAATTTCCTTAAATATAGCCTGTGTGCAGAATTTCAGTGAGCTTTAATTGCAAAGAAGGGCCGAACGCCGGGGCCCTTTGTTCCTCGGATAATTTTAGCTCCTGCATTAACTAACTGTAGCCGCCAGAAATTAATTCTCGCCCTGGAGTGAACATTGTTGCTGCCAAGGGCCTCGGTGTAAGTTGTTCCATGGAAAAGTGTGGCGGCCTGGTCCTTGTCCCCCTGGTTCTTGTCCCCCTGCCACTGCCCTGGCCTGGGAGCGCACTTGGGAACCTGTGTCCCATCCCTCGCAGGAGTGAAATGTCCATGAAAATGTGGCCAGAGCCTGAGTCCCTGCTGTTTGGAGAGCTCTCATCATGGTGCAGGGTGACAGGAGCTTCGCTTAGGGCCGATTCAACCTGAAGAACAGAAATTGAGGCACTTTATTATTTATTATTTATTATCTGCGGAGATTTGTGTTTTGGGCCTGCGGGGGATCAGGAGAGGGGTGTTTTTAAGTAACATTCAGAATTGCTGCAAGGGCTACTGATGGCATCCAGGGGAAGCGACCAGAATGGAGGGAAAAAACTAATTTGCAGGAGGAGCGCAAGGAGATTTGGAGGCAGCTGCAGGACTATCCTGCAGCATGGGCAGCCTTGGCGTCGCCATCCCTGCCACCGAGCGCTGGCGGGAGTCCCTGCTCCCAGCCTTCCCAGGGCTGCCTTTTCCCTGGTGTGGCGGAGGGGAATGCTGCCTGCTCGCCGCCCGTTGCGCGCAGGGCCATGAAACGTGGAAATCCGAGGAGTTCCAAGCCAAGTGGCACCGCTGTGTCCATCTGTCTGCCTCCTTGGGCTACAGGGCCCCAATTAACTGCAGCCACGTGCGGCTGAGCCTGGCCGAAGGGCCCTGGGGGACCTGACCAGCTGCCTCCCCCAGGCCCGGCCAGGCGAGGACGGGGACAGGGACACGGAGGCACTTGTTACTATTTAGGCAGGACGAGGATGGCTCACGTATTCATCTTGGAGCGAGGCCCAGGGCTCCAAGCGGGGAGGCTCTCGCCCTGGATCCCTGCTCGGCTGGGCATGGTGCTGGGCTCTTGCACTGGAGGGCTTCTCCTTTCCTTCCTGCTGCTAATTACTCTTTTAACAGCGGTAAATAAATAATAAGGCTGGAGCGCAGGGCCAAGCGCTCCCGCTGTGCAACGGCTGCCTTA